CATGTAAGCGACGTTTAAGTTGCTGCTTACTTGCTATTGCCAGAAACAAAAAATTCCAAAATGTAATGAAAATCAAGCTGTCCCATTTTTTACCGTTCACCCTAATAAAAAGATGCTGAACAACTCTTTTTCGAAACAGGTACTCAGTTTGGCAGAAATACATTAGCAAACAGGTATGAAGTAAATGCTGCAATGCTCTTCTTAATGTGAATGTTGGATGCTGGCAGCAAAGAATTTTGCGTTTAAGGTAGCTGCTGGCTTGGTCTTCTTCCTTTTTCTTTATTCCAAGCCATTTCTGGAAGAACACAATGTAAAAGCAGATAACTCAAAAAGTTTGTCTTGCATTAGCAATAGAAAAAAGCTGCATCTTACAATATTACAAGAGGAATAGCTTTGAATGCTGAAATAACATTGAGAGTTCCCGTTTCAAGAAAAACTGCTGAATTTGCTGACTATCTTCATTTATGTGTTTACAGTAATAGCGTTAACTATGACAGTGATAGATCGTATTTCAAATTTCATTGCAGAGGCTCAACAACCCAGAAATCACTGAAGATTAGAGCTAAATCGTGACTACAATTCTGATTCGTCTACTTCTGCTATTCAGACGAAGCTTTGAAACTGGGTCATCGGGAAGCACATTCCCACTTTCGTAGTAAGATCAACAAATTCTCATTTATCTATTTCACGTGTTAATCAGACTTCCCCAAAACTTAAGAAGATACGATTCATGTTTGCAAATGTTCTTCTTAAGTCGGCAATTACTTTGAAGAGGAGAAATGTAGTGCTTGTTTCAGTGCAGAATTTATCAAAATAGTTCTGACAGCATCGCATACTTAAGACAATTTGCAAGAGTAGGAAAAACAATGAATACTACCGTTAGTGATTTATCGTTGTCAAGAAAGACCACAGAAACCGTAAAGAAAATAACAATATAAAAAAGTATCAAGTTAATAGAAGGTTCAAAGCTAGATGGGTAAAACATAACAGCGAAGAAAACCACCCATTTGATGGGTTTTACAGCATGCGCTCTTTCCTTAGAGATGATTATTCTGGATCTTGCATGTTTATTCCATTTTTGTTGCGACCTCTTCAACGTACACCTGCTTACGTTCCATCAATTGTCAGTCCAGCTTCAGGAAATCCTCAAAAACTACCTTAGAAAAACTGCTATACAATGTAATTTTTATGCTAAACAGCCTCGTCCAATAAGTTACGCAACAGTGCAAGCAACTGTCTTTTTTCGTTTAATAATAACGAACTTTTTTGCTTTCATAGTTCAGATAACTTTAAGAAAGAATGTTTTCAGAATTGGATCGGATTTCAACTTACTACTACGCCATTATACCAGAACACTTTTGACTATTACTAGTGGCTGTCCCAGGATTTCCGTCCGTGGGGAGGGGAGTGGCGCGGCAAAAAAATCTTTTCAGATGGAGGTGCGTGGCTAAGCCACGCACCTTCATTTCAAAAAAAAATCTTGGGGTGCTTTTCAAAATTTTTGTGAGTCCATAATCCCTAAAATCTAGAATGGGGCGTAACGGCAGTCACGCTCCGAAAAAAAATTTTTACAAGGCCAATTTCAGTTCTTAAAATGTTTCAAAAATTATTTCAATTATTTACAGGGTGGCGCAAAAGTCTGGGAGCCTCATACTTTTTCAGATAAAATCAGAAGGAAAGTACCTAGAAACAAAAAATTCGGTGCACAAATAAAACGAACCTTTACAAATACAACGGTGCTCTCAAATTTAGAGATTGACTCTTCTGGCTTCAAAGCAGCCCTTTGAAATCTGGCGAGTCCGCCTGTCATGGCAAGCAGACAGTCGTGATGATATTCGTCCCACTCCTTCACGATTACTGTTTCTCTCACCAGGCAAATGCGTTGTATGATTGAGCAAGCTTTTGGCTACAAGGAATTGCGAGGAATTTTTTGCAGTGTTTTGGAAAAAAGTTTGGAAATTTTTAGTGAAGGCAAGTGTACTCACATACTGGATGAGATTGCGCGAACGGGAGCGAAGAATCGTAATCTGAAAGGCATTGAAATTGCTTGATCGATCGAACTCATTAACTCAAGTACATGCTTGCATAGAATACTCATGGAAAGGATATAGCCTAGAATTCAGTGCCTGCTGTGCTCCTATAGCTTTCAGACTTATTTTGAAGACAGATGGCCACTGGCACGCAGGTAGTATTCGCAGTTTCTATTTTGCATTTCCGAAAGAATAGTATCTGACATACGCAACTAAAACGAATTGATAGTGTCAAGTCTCCTCTACATTGTATGCATCAAAATGCTCTAGAATACTCACTGTATTTTTAGGTACGAAAGTTGCGAAGACCAAGAATTTCGATTTTTTTCGCCTTGCAGAAGCATTTGTTTGATAAATCCACTTCCCACAAAAGTGTATGGCAAGCATTTTTAGCTAGCTAAAGTGTCATTTGTAAAGGATGATCGCAGCAATATGCGGCACAAATTCGGAGTCAAAATCATTCATAGTTACTTGATTTACAGCACTGCAAACTCGACTAACAGATTTTTGCCCCACCCTGTACAAGATAGACAAGTCACTTGTACATCTTTATAACCCATGTGAGTAAATTTTAAAAATTTCGCGACCCATTCTCGGCGGGGGAGGGAAGGCCTCTCCCGCCCCTTCCCTCCCCTCGGACCGCCACTGCTATTACTGTTGATAGACTTCAATCTTCATGTTGCTATAATCACTTTTCTTTTTAGAACAATTTTGCCCCCCCCCCACACAAAAAATTTTCTGCTACTCTAAAGGAACATCAACGACATGTGTATTGTACGCTTTTGACGAGTTCGTAAAAAAGTGCTACAACGCTGGTTGTATCGCTCAAATTTCTATGATTTTTAGGCTCGTCGAGGGTCTCGCAACTTCGAGGAACAAAAACTAGTTACGGTACGTTTTTGTAACCGAGACATTCCGGAGACAAAAATTTAGACTCAGATTCGGCGCCTCTGATCAAACCAGTGTTGCAGTTTACAGCTTATTTTTGATGTGGAATAGGTTCTCCTCAAAAGGCTCATAGCCCTCCTCCGATTTTCCGACGTGAGCCTACAATAACAAAGAACGAGAATCCATTTTGTAATCTATTAGGTTGATGCATAATTCCTGCACCAAAATAGGTACAGACCGCAATAAACCGGAATAATCCTATATCTCAAATAGGATTTGACATATCATTAGATAGAGCAAACCTAGCTCTACAAGATAGTGCTTAAAGTTTTGCAGCAGCTTTGATCCAAGAGAAGACAAGCCAAAAACGAAAAAGATCCAAGCGCCCAAAAACCAAGAAAAAATTGGAAGTCCGTTCAGAAAAATCCTTCAAAATTCCTAACTTGCTCATGCATTGTCATTTCGTACAAGACATCTCCGCGGTTGCTGTATTTTTTTCTCTGCTAGAAGATGAGAAAACGAAGTTTTCATGTTTTTGCCAAATTAGTGCTGAGATGTTCTAGCACTAACAGTTGTATAGTACATGTCATTAGCAGTAAAACTTTATATTTTCAGCCTTCTAGAAGAACTAGTTCACGAGAAATATTGAATCTAGCTCTCCTTATCCAAATTTTTCTTGCCTAGTTGGTCAAAATTCGACATTTCTCGTAAACCAGCTGCTGTAAAAAGCTGAAAATTCACACTTATGCTTCTAAAGTCCTGTACTAAACAACTGTAAATGGAAGAACATCTCAGCATTGTTTGGAGAAAACATGAAAAACTCCGTTTTCTCAACTTCTAGAGAGAAAAATATAGCAACTGCATAGACAAATGTCTTATACGAAATGATAATGCATGAGCGAGAAATTTTGGAGGATTTTTCTGAACGGACTTCCAATTTTTTCTTGGTTTTTTGGGCTTAGATCTTTTTGGTTTTTAGCGTCAATCGTCGATCAAAGCTGCTGCAAAACTTCAATATCTTGTAGAGCTAGGTTTGCCCTATTTAATGATATATCGAATCCTATTAGGGATATAGGATTGTTCCGGATTATTGTGGTCTGTATTTATTTTGGTGCAGGACATATGCATCAGCCTAATACAGGGTGTCCCAAAAGTAAGTACACACTTTTCAATCGTCAATATCTTTCTTCCCAATGGGTCTTTTTTCGCCATTTAAGTACCTTTCTGTAGAGGAGGCTTCAACTTAGATTTACGCTATTGAGCGAATCACCGGTCCTCTCCATCACTGTAGGATTACGGTAAGAATTCCAGCAAGTAGAACTATTGTGAAATATGCCATCTGACAAAATTTTTTTCAAAAAATCTGAAAAATAGTGTACTAAGGTTTTCGCGCACGCTGATTCCACTACACAAGTTTTTATGAGTGTTTTCAGCTTTTTTGATGCTGTAATCACATTTCTGACAAACATTAAGAATTTGGATATCACGGTTTACCTGGGATAACTTTAGAAAGAAGCATCATAGTAAAGTGAAAATTTCATATTTGAAATCAGCAACTTTCATTACCTTAGTATAAGAGTTTTAGCTTGTTTGATTTTGTTCCGAGGCAGATTATGGCTTCCAATGGCCTGAAATCCTTATCGAAGTTTCTACAGTTATCCTACAGTAATGAAGATAGGTCGATGATTCGCTCAATACCGCAAATCTAAGTTGAAGCCTTCTCTACAGTATGGTACTTGAATGGCGAAAAAAGACACAATGGGAAGAGAGATATTGACGATTGAAAAGTGTGTACTTACTTTTGGGACACCCTGTATATACATAAACTGACTTGCACACTCGGCTCCGCTCGGCCCTGTCGAAACGCTGTAACAAAGGTTCCATCCCTACCCTTGTACAGCCTTTCCCTGTGCCCACTTCTACATATTGTTTTTGGGGGTCCGGGGTGGAGCCCCGGAAAAATTTGCAGAGGAATATATCGACATTCCAGTACATGATGAAAACTGATATCATAGTATTTTTACTTTTTCTTAAGTAAAACCTATGCATTAAGTGCCTTTGCAAACATCATGCTCCATCATACTAAACTAAGATGTTGTAGTCTTGTTCAACAGATTCGTATAGCACATGAGCTGTGTTGACATTGATGATGGAAACTTTATTGCTCTGAAAATTCTACTAAATTACTTTTTGAGGAAAATAGTAGAAAGTACATCTAATGCGTTACGTGAAGCCTCTTCACGCTCCCGTTCACTATACCTGGACGCTGAAATCGAATGGAGTCACTTTCGGCCACGGTGGAGACGGCGGTCTTTGGGTCCGTTGGGCATACGCCATTATGTTGGGGGTAGGACTCTCCGATTCTCGTTTCGTCACCGTCTCATAAATAAAAGCTTCCTGGAATTAGGGTTGTCATTGTGCGTGAAAGTGTATAGTTGTAATTGAGAGCGTACTTCGAACGAGTCACTTTCGCAATGCGAATGTAGCCTATTATCCGGTTCAAAATCAGAATCTGAAGCATCGACATCCGATCCCGGAACTTTCAAATCAATCCAAAGTGAAGGCAGATCAAAATCGCAGCTGTCCTTGTTGGCTGATGCTGGTGTCATGGTGGCTAGCATCACCAGCCTTGACTGCAGTAGAGCCAATTGACGAATCTACTCACGTTGTCATTTTATGAAGAAATTGGAGTCAATTCTAGTATGTCTTCGAGGGAAGTGGCCAGGAGGCACATTGTTATCCCTTCTCCACTTCCAACCATGAAAAATGCTTGATATGACATGCTTGATTTAGGCCACTTTTCGTTGCTGAGATCCACGAATGTTGTGGACTCGAAGTTACGCGACACACAGAGTGATTTTGTTTTTGAGCACTGATTCCATAATTGTATAGTTTCAAGTTTTATCTCCTCAGCATTATAGCATTATTTTTTGGACCCAATTCAATGAACTGCTCCTCACTGTTTTTGTGGAATATGGATGACATGGTTTCTAAATAGAACTAGGCTAGCCCAAAGAGAAAGGAACAACTTCACATGCAAACTGCAAATGACACTCATAGTCAAATAACTTCACTAATTCATCAATTCATACTCGGGAAATGAATGAAAGTCGAAAATGATTTCGACTAGTTTCGAAAAGTTTCCTTAGTTTGTCTCAACAGTATAGTATCAATATTCCTTATGCGAATTCATAGAACAAAGCAAAAGAAAAAAATCAGGAGGTCCTTTCAAAGAAAACTGGTTTCGAAAATATTTACCTCTTCTTGCTATCATATGCAGGGTAAAGGGGAAGGGGGTGCGGCACGCCGCAGGGAGGGGGGTCGTAAGGGTGGGGGGTAGGTAAGGGGAGGAGTCGTATCGACCCAAGGTCAAAAGCGGTTTTCAAGCGTAAAAGCACTGTAAATAAATTTTTAGGTGTGCCCACTCTTTTCCAACTACCTCTGACAACTCATGGAACGTAAATGAGAGAAATACTAAATGGACTCTTGGTTTTAGGTACGAGTTTATTTTCAATAGAATTTCTTGAAAAGCAGGTTTTGCAGTGAATGGATGATGGTGTGACGACCGACGAGTGATGTGTGGGAAAGTGAAGATTTCGTCAATAGAAATACACGATACATTTGAACAACTTGTGTCGGAAGAGAGGAACATACGCATATTGTTGTTGTGGTTTCTGTGTAAGATGTACCTTCAAAAAACATTTATCTGTTGCATACACTAATATAAGGAAATGAACAGTGATTTATAAAGATGTGAAGATGTTCAGTCTGTTTTCTTAGAAGATACGATTGAAAAAATGTTCATCTTAGCAAGTTCTTCTTGCAACAGCCGGTTCTTAATTTCCTCTGTGTCCTTTCGTGCATTTAGACCGTGAACCACCATGTGGCGCCTTACATGGAGCTTGGCCAACTCATATGCATCTCCTAGATGCATAGAATGCAGAAGGTAAGATGCACTGAGTTCTGAGGATATTGTGATGAAAGCTACTCCCGCTTCATCTTCGCGCTGCCTTTCTTGCAAACGTCCTTGAGGTTCTGGTCTGATCGGGTCATCTTCACGGAGAACCCATTGATCCAAAAAAATAGTGTCCTCGTCATCGCAATTGTTGTCATAACCTGGAGTTTTACTCGTGAGGGCCCACGGTTGCCACACATCGAAAGGGACTTTTGTGCACTAAACTGTTCGGTATTGAGAATTTGAAAGGCCATGTCCTTAGAATGGTGTGGCCACATGTTGTCAAGATAGTTCATCGGTGTCACCTTGCTGACATCATCCGATGGACTAAGTACAACTATATCTACCGCTCTGAATGATATCCGTTTCTGTTTGTCTCCTGTGATGACTAAGTTATCTGGATTGTAGAACAAGTTGCCTGATTGCGTGGTTAGTACGTAACTGAACATAGAAGCAAATCCGGCTGCATCCTTTCTTTTGAAATTCAAAAGCACAATAACTGTTTGCCCTTGGAGATAGTGATGCTCGCTGTGTATACGTGGAGCTGGCGTCGATCTGCTGCGACCGTAGAATTTTAAAAGATCTTGATTGTGGCTAGCATCGGCCACTTGATTGTAATGTTCCAATATCTCGGCACTATGGTATCAACATTCTTTATGCAAAAAACCTCAGCACAGACCAGAAGAAAAAGTCAGAAGTAATGAAAACCGGGATCAAAATCATGAAAAATCTAAAACAGAGTTCTTAAACCGAAATTCCAAAAATCATTCCCAAAAATCCCAAAATCCCAAATTCAAAATCAAAATTTATTTCAGTGCCGCCATTCAAGTCTTGGGCGTCCACGTACGTTGCTGTCCTGGGGAGGGTGAGTGATGGCGACGTTCCTGAGATTTTCATTTTCCGCGAAATTAAAAATAGGATCACCTGATACATGTTAGTGACGCAAATGAACAAAGAATAAATGTGATTTTTGGCAAAACTAATCTGCTCGTTGTTATACTCTTCCCTCATTTCAAGGTGCACCTGCACTCCGATATCTCTTCTCGGGTGTAAAATGGCTTGCGGCAGACGCGCGAAAATTAGCCATACTTGTTCGATGGCCAAAAGTGCCGAGGTTCTCCCCTCCGGGGAAAAGTCTAGCAGGAACGCCCTCGGGTATCTGAGCGCCACCCTCCTGTTGAGGTGGTGCTCATACAAAGTATGCTGGGGACGACATGCTTCATTGGAGCATGTGAATCGGAAAGAGTTGCTTGTATGCTCACTGATGCGGAACTCGCTGTAGTTCACGACGCTCCAGAAGATCCATTAAACGCACCTGTGGCTACTTCAAAAAGTCGTCCACACAATTGAAAAAGGGACCGGACTCCCATATGCTCTATAGGCATTTCCGATAACGCCTCCAACAATGCCGTTAGTTTGTGAACGACAACGAATTGATGCAAGGCCCTCATACCGAGCGGCAAAACTGCAGACCTTCTTCTGCGGTCTTCGAGCCACTGTGCGGACTGCCTGCGCGGTGGTGGATCAATCTCTTCAGCGAGCGTTCTCAGAATAAATAACAGAAGTTCCATCTTCTCCATGCTAAACTGATTTAACAAATTCATGACATCGACTTGAAAGAAGAAAAAACTTGACTTGAAAAGCAAAGATTATGACATATAGATGATGCACCAGATGAGACAGATGGGTGACTAGATGGTACACTGTTTATTTCTTCAAAACCCCAAAAACATCATCTAATGCGTTACGTGAAGCCTCTTCACGCTCCCATTCACTATACCCATGGACGCTGAAATCGAATGGAGTCACTTTCGGCCACGGTGGAGACGGCGGTCTTTGGGTCCGTTGGGCATACGCCATTATGTTGGGGGTAGGACTCTCCAATTCTCGTTTCACCGCCTCACAAATAAAAGCTTCCTGGATTTAGGGTTGTCATTGTGCGTGAAAGTGTATAGTTGTTGTATTGAGAGCGTACTTCGAATGAGTCACTTTCGTAATGCGAATATAGCCTATCATCCGGTTCAAAATCAGAATCTGAAGCATCGACCTCCGATCCCGGAACTTTCAACTCAATCCAGAGTGAAGGCAGATCAAAATTGCAGCTGTCCTTGTTGGCTAATTGTGGTGTCATGGTGGCTAACATCATCAGCCTTGATTGCAGTACGGCCAATTGACGAATCTACTACACGTTGTCATTTTTTAATGAAAAAGTTGGAGTCAATTCTGGTATGTCTTCGAGGGAAGAGGCCAGGAGGCACATTGTTATCCCTTCTCCACTCCCAACCATGAAAGATGACATGACATATGACATGCTTGATCTAGGCCACTTTTCGTTGCTGAGATCCACGAATGTTGTGGACTCGAAATTACGCGACACACAGGAATGATTTTGTTTTTGAGCACTAATTTCATAATTGTATAGTTTCAAGTTTTCATCTTCTCAGCATTATAGCATTCTTTTTTGGACCCAATTCAATAAACTGCTCCTCACTGCTTGTTGTGGAATATGGATGACATGGTTTCCAAATAAAACTAGGCTAGCCCAAAGAGAAAGGAACAACTTCACATGCAAGCAAATGACTCATAGTCAAATAACTTCATCAATTAATTAATTCATACTCGGGAAATGAATGAAAGTTCGAAAATGATTTTGACCAGTTTCAAAAAGTTTTCTTGGTTTGTCTCAACAGTATAGTATCAATATTCTTTATGCGAATTCATAGAACAAAGCAAAAGAAAAAATCAGGAGGTCCCTTCAAAGAAAAGTGGTTTCCAAAATATTCACCTCTTCTTGCTATCGTATGTGCTAGCGGCGACGGATGGACTATAGTTAGTGGCAGCTGACCAAAAATCAGCCAAATTTGCTCAATGAATAGGACTACCTTTGGCGAATAACTACTTGTAAAATCTAATAAAGGCGCATTAAGAGCTTTCATTGAGTATCGCACCATATTTATAAATTTCACTGCGCTTCTATCTTATCCCTTCGTGAGCTTTGTCGGATCTTCGGATGTGGTAAAATAGACAGCGGTCTTCCTCCATATTGGTGATTGGGTTTCCCTCGAAAAATAAATTTGGAAGCTCTAAAACAGATGTTCCACTGGTACACCACCACAAACCAGGATTATAGTAGCAAAATAACAGCAGAATAATGCAGTGAATACTTAATACAGTCGAGTATAGTGCACAGCAGCGATTAGCAAGATTGGTAGTGGGTAGATTCAGATTAGAATGGTGCTAAATACAGAAAGAGTGGAATAGCCATGTGATTGTTTTGGTAATATCAGTGTATGCATGGTGGCGTTTGAGAAGACAAGTAGAAGCTGCTTGAATAAGGGTTAAAACTGGTACATATTCAAGCTGATGTTGAAGTATAAATGCGAGAGGTGTAAATGGAGAGGCGCAGTTGAAGGAGAGAAAGTCCACTTTCCAGAGCCAAGCACAACCCTGGCATTTCAAGGTCTACCTGGACTCCGAAACCCCTTATATAGGGTATAGGAAAGCAGGGGGAAGACGCGGCAGCATTATCCATATTCGTTAAATAGCCAAAACTGTGGACTTTGTCTTTCTGGAGAAAAATCCAAGAGAGGCGCCCTTGGGTATCTGAGCACTACATTCCTGTTGAGGTGGTGCTCATATGAATTATGCTGGGGACGACATACTTCACTGGAGCATGTGAACCGAAATGAGCTGCCTGTCTCCGTGTTGATGCGAAACTCGCTAATTCTGATATACCCCCAGAGGATCCACTGAAGGCACCTGTGGCAATTTCGAAAGCCGCCCACACCATTTGAAAGAAACCGCAGTCCCATTTGCTCTAGCTGCCTTTCCGATACAAGCTCCAATAAGATCACGATTTTGTAAACGGTAGTAAATGAACGTATGGCCCTTAGGTCGGGCGGCAAAATCTGATTCTGTCATAAGTGAATAAAAAGCAAGTATGAAATTTATCAAAGAACTAACCTGCATTTTTTCGCACTCTTCCTTCATTCCAGCAACTTGAACTGCGACGTCTCTCGTGGGGTGTAGAGCGGCAGAAGGAAGACGAGGAAACATCAGCCGTACTTGTTCGATAACTAATACCGTAGAAGTTGTCCCTTCCGGAAAGCAATCTAGCAGTGGAGCCTTAGGGTACTTGAGCGCTGACACCCTTAAGGTGGTGCTCATACAATGGATGCCGTGGATGACAGATCTTATGTGCACATGTAAAGCGAAAACCGGTAGCTGTCTGTGCGCGGAAGCGGAATTCATTGTAAGTCGGAATACAATTGCCAAAAGAGCCACTAAAGGCTCCTGTGGCGATTTGGAATAGCCGCGCACACCAGATGGAAATAGACCGCAGTACCATTTTATTTATTTATTTATTGAAACGTGCTCACACACGCATGTTAATAGTATGAACAAGAAATACCCTGAAAATAATTTCTTCTATCGGGCTTTCGGCTAGACTTGCCAGTAAAGATGTGAGCTTGTATGCTACAGCAAACTGACGAATCTCCCTCATATCAGGCGGCAATACCTCTAATTTCCTCCGATGCTCCTAGATCCACTGCTCCGACCTTCTTCGCGGAGGTGCTGGCAGCTTTTCAGATATTGTACGAAGAATAAATGATAGAAGGTTGATCTTCTCCATGTTGAGGTCGAGAGTGAAGATTCTGACTACTTACGCTGTAGCTTTGACTCCATTGGAAATTTCTTTGAGCTCCGTTTTCCATTTTAATTGAGTTTCTGAGGACGGAACAGACACTTGATTGGCATTCTGTGCCAACTCATTACATTACCTTGTTTGAACTTCTGAGAACTTGATTGACATTCTGCTGCAGCTCTGTTCCAATCTGATGCTGTTGCGTTCTTTCTACATTTTAGAATGCAAAGCAAAGAATGGACTATGTGTATGTGAAATAAAGTTTAACAAAATTCAGAAAACTCCTTTATCCCAAGACCATCACTGATCATCAATGTCGTATATTAAGATATATTAAGATTGTTGCAGAAAAAACTGAAGTGTGTGACTTTTCTTATGGTAGGCATAAGGCTAAGCGACTGTTTTGTTCAGCTGCAGAAGGTGCGCAGAATCAACGTGATCCACCATGGTAAGCTTTTTCTTCCTAAACGGCTTCTCTCAGGTAAGCTTCTTCTTCAGTTTTTTTACTCTTCCGTTCATCACTCATTTCAGTTGCAAATAATATGCATTTTTTCGTACTCTTCCTTCATTCCAGCAACTTGAACTGCGACGTCTCTCTTGGGGTGTAGAGCGGCAGAAGGAAAACGAGGAAACATCAGCCGTACTTGTTCGATAACTAATACCGTAGAAGTTGTCCCTTCCGGAAAGCAATCTAGCAGTGGAGCCTTAGGGTACTTGAGCGCTGACACCCTTAAGGTGGTGCTCATACAATGGATGCCGTGGATGACAGATTTTATGTGCACATGTAAAGCGAAAACCGCTAGCAGTCTGTGCGCGGAAGCGGAAGTCATTGTGATTCGGAATATATTTGCCAGGAGAGCCATTAAAGGCTTCTATGGCAATTTGGATTAGCCGCGCACACCAGCTGGAAAGAGTCAGCAGTGCCATTTCTTCTATCGGCCTTTCGGCTAAACTCGCCAGTAAAGTTGTGAGCTTGTATGCTACAGCAAACCGACGAACCTCCTTCATGTCAGGCGGCAATACCTCTAATTTCCTCCGATGCTCCTGGATCCACTGATTCGACTTCTCCGTTGGGGTGTTGGGATGTCCTCAACAAGCGATCTAAGAATAAACAGGAGTATTTCAATTTTTTCCATGGTGATTCAGTGGCAAAGAGGTGACCGCGAATGCGGTAGACCTAGGTCCTTAAACGCTGTTTCTAAGTCTTTTTGCAGTCTCTTGAACCAAGATTCAACTTAACCATGTAACTAGTTGAAAGCAAACAAATGGTGTTCCAATCAGTCGATCTCTTCAACCAAGTTCTTGACTTAACTCTGAATGTATTGTGAAGAGATAATAGCTTGAAAACGTTTGTTTGCCTTTAGCTGTAGACGGAGGGCAAATAAATGGAGAATTTGAAGGCAAATTAATGCTGTGCAGCTCAGTATAATCTCTTAAACAAAGTTTTTTCTTAATCATGTGAATGCAGGCAAACAAATGCTGCTCCAGCTCAGTCAATAATGCAAGTAGAACCTTAAGTCTTAAAGACAGATTTTACTTTAGTTTTCTGTCCGGAGATGGAGAACCAAGAAAATATAACTTCACTTTCATCTCTGTAAGCTTCTAAAAACAAGCAAAATAAAATATGTGCCTGAAAAGTAAGATTGAAGCAATTACGAAGCATCTACATGTAAGACATTCTAAGGGAATAACTGTGATAATGAGATTTGAAGTGGTCGCAACAGAAGCATGCATTACATACTGCAGCAGGGAGGCGCGCAGCTACAGGAGAAAAAGGCTGCTTAGCCGGAGCTGATCAATTTGCAATGCCACTCTGCAAACACGCCCTCTCGGCAGCTCTGCACTTGTGATGGTAAATATGACCGCGTTCCACGCTTGCACTTTTAGTTGTGTATTTTACGCGATTCACTTCCTACCCCCTTCGGTAGTTCCACACCTCTTTAACTATTAATCTGATTCATCGCCAGGATTCCATTTCGAAAAGGTTGAAGAGGATTGAGACGATATTTTGATTTGGATAAAAGAATTAAGTGGTCGCTGCTGCGCCAGCCAGAACCACAAGTTCTCCTTCTTCTTCTAGACAAACACCAGCATTAAAGAGTGGCGGTGGCGGAGGTAGGTTGGTGTAGGTGTTTTGGAATTTTTTTCAGCGATTTCAGGGGTCAAATATGAGTCCTTCAGTAAGACCGACACGGTTTTGTGGGCTCGGTTTCCTTATGAACATGTAGGAATCATTTGTTATTGGGTACTCAAGGGGAAAGACAAGAGATTCAAACTAAGATAAAGCGCACGGATTTGCGGTAGTTGTATAAGTGAATTAAAGGGCTCAGATAAAAGGCGCGGCCACAGTAAAGAGGGGAAGCTCATAATAGAAATAGGACATAGTGGTTTTGGTTTCAATAGGATGTCTGGCAGGAAATTTAGTGGGAATCTTATGCTCAGCGTCAAATTAAGGATGACGCGATGTACTGTTAAAGAATTGAAAA